GAGGATCCTCACCTTTTAATAAATATTCATTAGTATATCTTCTATGGCCAACACGACATCGTCGTAAAATGACCTCCTCAAATCTGGACTGACAACCCAAGTAGGTGTAACTGATATTTGGTTTTATTGCATGTAATTTATTTGTACGTACTTGGGTGTCCCACTTCTTTTGCATAAGGACTTTGATATAGCATCTAATTAAAGGTTTGTAGTCGCTGTATGGTATAAGAAGTGGGGTCACAGATTTGTTGAGAGCTGCTTTTGCTGCAGCATCAGCCATAGTGTTACCCGTGATTCCAACATGACTGGGTAACCAGCAATAGACGGTGTCGTATTGGCCAGTGGCAAGAGTATTGTGTAATTCTAAAATATCAAGAGTGAGTGGATGATTTGAGCGGACATTTGTTAATGCCTGTAGGCATGACAAAGAATCAGAGAGGATGATGAAGTTTGTGCAGATATTTTGTGTCTGAATATATTCCAAAGCTGTTTGAATAGCCTTGGCCTCAGCAGTAAAGATAGAACAATTGTTTGGTAATCTGGAAGAAATGGTTTTTGATCCAACGATGGTAGCACTGGCAACTTTGCCACCATCCTTGGATCCATCAGTGAAAATGGAGCGGTGAGAATCGTACTTTGATCACAACTGGATATATTCTTGCTGAAAGACTAACGGATTTGTGTCTGGTTTTTAAAAATTAGTAAGTGTGAGGTCTACAACGGGGTGGACTAGTTGCCAAGGAGGTGTAGACAGTAAACGGTACGGTGCAACAAAATCAAGGTCAATATTTGCTGCTGTTACATGAAGTTTTATTCTAATCCCTAGTGGAGGAACAAGCTTCGGTTTTGTATGGAATAAGTCCTCGTAGGGAGGATTAAATATGCAATCATAGGCTGGATTAGACGGATTTGATTTTAATTTTGTGATATATTGTAAAGCAAGTTTTAAACGGCGTTGTTTTTTTCAAGATCAAGCCAAGGTTAGTGCTGAACTTTATGTCTTCGTCTGGGGTCCACAACGCAAGTGTTCTTTATCTACATTCTGGCGACATCAAGACGTCAATCATCACTTGTGACTTTCTATCATTGCGGTTGCCTTCAATTCATACCAACGTTGTCGTCACCTCCACGTGCCAGCGTTCCAACCCCTGTTAACTATAGCTCTCGGACCCACCTCTACGAGACTCCACCAGGACCCTGATTCAATCCCCCCGCTGGACCCAGCTCCGCCACACCCCACTAGGAAACTGATTCAAACAAAGGCAGGACCCACCTCAGTGACACGACCCGAACAAGAGCAAGAACAAGAAAATTGTGACATTGATCTAGAACTGTGTTTTTGTGTGACTCAAACCCTATTTCATTCAGAGGCTGACTGTGCATTTTAGGTAAGCTTCATTTCCTTTCTGTGTTAACATATGCATAACAGCATGGCTGACCATTCTGACAGATGGGGCATACCATACAGTCTGAAGCAGCCACAGCAGTATCGCAAACCGAATCCCAAAGTCATTATCAAGCATGGTCGCCATAAGATACAAGATCCTGTTGCGCAAACGTTCCATATAGAATAGTGACAATATTCTATACACTATCTAATCAGATACATGATAAGTCAGGATAACAACACAAAGCATTGGCCTTGTTCTTCTATCTAGTTAAATTTTTCACCTGGGATCACTCAACCTTAGCTTGGTGAAATGGGTACGTTTATTTTTAATCTTCCAGTGTTCTTGATAGGGTTCAAGTTTCATTTCTGACTTAAATTTTCTATATGTCCAAAGTTAGTTCTTGAATTTATTTTATTCGGTTTACCTTGAAACGATAAGTGGAACATGTCTGTAAACTTTGATTGTAGGTCCTTCATAATGATGGAAGAAATTAGATCACTTTCTTAATGTCAAATTTATCTAGGAGGCAAATGAATTTATATAAGTACCATCCAATTTTATTGTTGGCCCTAGTTACTGATTCATTAAAAGCATGTTTTAAAACAATATTGGGATATTGTAAAATATGTCGGGAGAATTGTTTAATAGATTTAATTACCTTAAACAGAAGGGAGATAAACCAAGCTCTGCCCTGCATGCCCAGGTGTATTTGTTGAGAAATTCCCAGAACACGTTTGCAAAATTTATTCGTAATATTTCTGGAGTAAAAGTATCCATATACTTGAGTAGAACCGAGTCAATTCCCCATACCTCACAGTTATATAGGACAACAGGTTCAACTGCCTTAAAAATTCTGCAACAGACATTTTGATCTAAATCATCTCTAAACAGGCTAGAAAAGAGCACATAGTAGGCCCTAGTTTTGTCTTTTATTTTCAAGAGATTCTACACACTATAAAAGCGAAAGCTTCACGCAAGTAAAGAGAGTCACGTGTATATAATGATACCCCACGTTGTACATATCAGGAAAACTTCAGATTATATATATATATATATAGACACCCATTAACTGACCACCTGTACAGACGTGCATATAGCAGCACAAATAAGTATACACACATACGACACGATACACGATATACAAATGGGAGCACCCCCAATATACAACATAGGTAAATGAGGTTAACCATCCTTTCGAAAAATCCTGCACAGAAAGGTACGCGTGCATGGTTTATTAGACTTACACACCATCCCCATTAAACCACACCAAATCCACTAAGTCAATGGGATAAAACCTGAAACAGTAGGTGACACGGTATAGGTCCAAAAGTGTGAAAGTTAGGACCGAGAGCGTGAAAACCAAATGGAATAGTATGGAGTTAAAAACTCATACTATGAAATCCGAGCGCGTGACGAGTTAAGAATGAATGAACTATAAGGGTTATGCTTGAGAATGGGTTATGAGTGAGGAGGTGTCAGCTGTCAGAACCAAGTACAGGCAACCCACAGACAAACGAGCCATCACGCCATTGTCTGTGGCCCTGGAGAGACACCAGTAGTTGTAGTGAGAAGGATTCAGTGATAGTAGTTTAGTGAGGGAGAGAGAGGGTGGTGTCAGCTGTGAAGAAACAGGTACAGGACAACCGCAGACAAAAGAGCCATCACGCCATTGTCTGTGGCCCTGGAGAGACACTAGGTGTCCATGTCGCTCTGCGGCAGGGTTAGCTGATGGATTCCACCGTCTACCTGTCTCTTTATCACGGACAGGTCCACAGGCGTGAGTAGCTAGGTTGCCACTCCAGCCCACTATTACGTAACCACCACCCCGTACATCACCCTCATTAAAAAGCCATTTATCAAACTACCACATGCTGATTTTGTTATCTTTTAATCTCCACTAAGCCATAAACATAAGGCCCCAAATCATCTTTGATCTCCACTAATCCATAGACAGGGTATTTCTTAACATAAGCCCATCAAGGCATTTTTATCTAGTAGCTATAAACAGCAGGTTTACCACCACTAATCCATAAACATGGTATTTATTAACAAAAACCCATCGATGCATTTTGATCTAGTAGCTATTAACAGTAGGTTTACCACGTTAGCGTTATTCTCCAAACACATATGGTGATTATGCACTTACATCTAGGGACATGATACCCAGTCTCTCACAGTTTAACAGTGGACGCGGCTAATTTAATTACCTGCGACCTTTCACTCCCTCACACCTTGTCAGTGTCACTAAGTTTAACTCAGTGAAAAATTATAGGGCCGTATTCTATGCAACCACACAGCGTAAAAGGTAATATGCATAAAACCATACCTAAACAACCTATTTAAATCAATACCGGTCTATGCGCAAATACTGCCCAGCCTGCTATCATACAATGCAATCTACAGCAATCTGCTTCCTGAACCGCACTGCCATGTACCCAGTAGCGCACAGAATCCTATGCTATCTGGCTGTAGAGGTGTATAGCAACTGGGAGCTTTTTAGACACCTCTTCTTCCATCTTAACCAATTCAACATCGAAATATTGAAGCTGCATGTGGATTATGAACTACTAGAACGCATCTACATCAGGAATGAAGAAAAGAAGGAACGGTAAGTGCCAACACACCTTATTGCATCTTGTGATATTATTTAGCATATTATCAACAGCGCCACTTGTGTGCTTTATAATGTGTATGCTGATCAATGTTAAAACACTGCTTCTTTTTGTTGCAGCTTTATAATAACGTATATGATGATCAATGTTTAAACACGGCTTCTTTTCGTTGCAGCCGAAGAACCACCACGGGAGATTTTCTGCTCAGCCTTCAGCTACCGGTACATAAAATGGTGTGTAATCACACACCCCTCAAATTAAGTCGTCACAACACCACACAGCTTCCCACCATATACGAAGATGAGGGGCACACACTGCCGGGGAGAGCCGGCAACATGCATTCGGGGCTGTTTCATCACCAGAAAAGGAATGCGTATTTCCGGCCCTGCTAAATGTTTATACTTATGCATTAAATAATGTAGCTTACAAACCGTTTTAGAGTTATTATCTAATTCATTACAAATAGGGTGGTCTGTTTCAGCCTTAGTAACCGCTGTATCATTAGTATTTTACCCTCATCAAGAGCATGTCCACAAACTTCATGGCAAATTGGTGTCAAGCTTTCAAAATACAAAACCCCGCGTCAAAATCACAAAGGTTTGCTTGCTTGCTTGCTCATTTCACGCTGTACTCATCAATATCGCTCCTATATGGGTTGGGTGCATGCATGTAGCACCCTACACATGTGTAGTGTATATAATACGCTTTGCAAGCAACAAAAAAGAAATACTCCACAATTAAATAAGTACACAAAACAATATATGGCTGAGAAATTTTATTATATTAAGTAGCAGCAAAACACTCCAGCTACCCTTCTTCTTCCGACTCAGTGGCGGGGTTACATATATGACAATTTTTTACATCTTCTGCCGACTGGTGTTCTTCATCACAATACCGGTTTATACCCCGGTAATTCAGCTCCCGGCGGGCAGATGAAGGTTCCACGTCGTCGTCTTCAATTATTATTAAATCCCCGCCATCATCACTGTCGCTACTATCACGTATGACACCGTTTCTTAACCGGGGTCAATAGGGCTGACGGCCGCTTTCTTTTGGAGGGGCGGGGTGGGGGCACGGCCGGGGTGCCTTGCATCTTCGTAGGTGTTACGGTGTCAGCTGCAGCAACAGCTGGGGCGTCTTCTTCCTCCTTCGGGGGCGTTGTAGGGGCTGCCTCATTTCCACCCTTCTGGGACGTCTGGGGCTTTTCTGCAGCCTTTACCCGCTTTGGACAATAACGGGCCTGATGGCATTGCATCACCATCTTACACCACCTACACGGTAGTACACACCCGGCAGCAAAATGCCCCATATTCCCGCATTTGTAGTAGTCATAAGCCGCTAAATGGGGTGGTGGGTCCCCACGTTTCTGCCGGGCTATGTGCATGGGGCATGTGTATGAGGTGTGTTCGGTGCTACCACACCCTCGCTCTCCGCACGGTTTCGTACACTCCCCAGCTCTGTGCCCCATCTCTTTGCAGTTGTAGCACTTGATGTTGCTACCGCTTACAGGTTTAGTGGTGCCATCATTCATGCACCTTGGTGCAGCGTGTCCTGCTTTCCCACAGGTGCTGCAGGGCTCGGGGCAGCGCCAGAACCAGTGTCCGAAGGGGTTTGCGCAGTTGTTGTCGCAGCTGGCATTTGGGCACTTGGTATAGTGGTGGTCATCAGTTTGGCAGCGGCGACATTGGAAGGTGGTCGAAGCAGGCATGTTGACACGGGGTACAGCAGCTAGCTGGTGCAAAGTTCGTTAGGCAGGCGTAGCAACACTGTTTGCAAATATATCAGGCAACTATCGCCAGCCAGCCCGGTTCTATATACCCTGGCGCTACCTCAGGCCACACCTACTCAATACACCCATTGCTACTCAAATCTCCCAAATATGCATAAATCAACCGCAACTCCGCCCACCCAAATACTCACTCTGCATACCTACCCATAAACACCATTGTCGCCAAAGCTACCTTCCCATGTACACTTACATTGTACACAGGCAATAATTCTAAAAACAAAAAACTATAGTAAAATATACCTTGCTCTCAATATGGAGCCACAGCCTTCAACCTTGTATGCCCAACATGGCCATGATGTTGCTGATGATTCTGATGATGATGATGATGACAATGCCATTCTCCCACCGTCACTACAAGCTGCGTTTTTGAATATCGTCAACGATCCCGCTATAGAGCAGGAATTATTAGCCATACCTATGCAGGTAGGAGAAACTGCACATGGTGAAATCATAACGCAGTGTGAGGATACTTTACACAATATTCTGCAGGGTAATGTGGATGTTGTGGAAGAAGTGGCGGCGGACAGCCAGGTGAAAGATGAGCTGATGGACATAGCTAGTGTGTTTTTGAACCGCAACTGGAATTCGGCAGTTCAGCATGGAGGGGTCGGCGATGGTGTGGGCACACTTAGTACAGCAGCCTACACACTCGAACCACAGGATTCCATGGTTAGCAAAAAATTTAAAACAGCTACTCATCGTTTCTCCCTATGTCTGCACACGGACAATATTCCTCTGCAAAACACCCAGCAGGCGTTAGCAGCAGTGTTTGATGACGTCTTACAGCGCGTGAGAGAGCATGTTGGTAAGTTACATAAAAAATAAATAAAAAACTCCGTCTCACCCTCCCATCCTATCACAGCATTGTAAGCACAAGGTATTAATATTACAGTAACCCCCCCCCATATGTCAAACACGTGTATAATCAGCTCACATATTTAATGCGCCATGCATTCATACCGTTGCACACTGGGCTATTGCACGCATCTGTTTCTTTACAGGTGGTCATGACGGGGACAGATTAGGCTTACGCATACAGCATCCTGCTCTGGATGCCCCAATACACGTACCCTTCAACAGGCTAGAGGCAGTAAATGGTAATTCCATTATTGCTGCCATGGATAAAGTGAGCCAGTCCAAGAAGGACTTTCAACCTGATGGCCGTATGGATATGAACATTCTTCACGTGGCCAACCCGGACAGGGTCGGGTTCGGTTGTGGTCGGCTGACCGCCAAAAAAGCTGTAACACTGGAGAACTTCTTACTCAAGAAAACCTCTATTGTTCAAGTAAGAAACAACGACGACCTCTGCTTTGCCTGAGCTATCGTCACTGGTCTACATTATATAGGTAGACCGTCTGGTGACGATCCGGAGCACTTACGCCTAGAGTGGGAAAGAGTGGGAAAGAACTACAGGAAAGAAAAGTGCTGTCTGCAAAGACTGCATGCAATAGATTTACATGTAAAGGCTGGAATACCCAGGGCACCTTGTCAAGGGCGCGAGACATGGGATGCATTTCAAAGCTATCTCCAAAACACAGCTCAACTAAAAATTCACAAGCTTGTTAATGCGCACCCTCAAATACTGTACAAGGGTGCAGTTACAACCGATTTGCCGGTTCTACATCTATTTTACCATGGCAAACATTACGACTATGTTTCTACAGCAAAAGGGTTTTATGGCACACAGGATTATTGTGAAATCTGTAACAAGGGTTTTAAAACAGGGGCTGAAAAACACCCTTGCTTTGCCGAGTTCAAATGCCGTAAATGTCAACACAGTGGCTACTGTCGGGGGTGGGAGGGGTTTGGGAAGAACTGCCTTTCTTGTAACACCTGGTTTGCTACAACGCAGTGCTATGACAGACACCTGATCCCTTCTATACCGGGAACAGTGTCAGCATGTAGTAGCACACACACATGTGTCGCATGCCTAGCCACATACAATGCAAGCGCAAAAGAGCCCCATAGCTGCGCAGCTAGCGGTGATTATGCACGCTTATGTAAACATTGTCATGAAACATTAAACCCTGATCACCGATGCTACATGACCCCTCTGGGTGAGGCTAAAGCATCCTTTAATGAGGTTCCTTATGTGTTTTATGACTTTGAGAGTATGATTGGCCCTCAGCGTGAGCACATACCTAACCTGTGTGTTTTACAGTTGGGGTGTGGCGCGTGCATCTCAAACAGTGAACAGGTTCTCTGTCAGGTGTGTCCTTGGCGTTCTCATGCGCTCGCACCCCAACATGGTTCCAGAGAAATTGTATTTGCAGGCCCCAATACCCTCACAGACACAGCCGAGTGGTTTATTCAACTTGCAAGTAGCCGCTTCATGGGGGAGAGCGACGGGGGGGAGGGTATCAAAGCTAGGAAATCAAGGGATGCTGGTGATGTCATTGCAATAGCCCACAATGCTAGAGGGTACGACTTGCACCTTCTCTTGAAAGCCTTATATCCCCGTATAATTTCCCCCCCCACAAATTATAACGGCAGGTGAGAAGATACTGCGAATGCAACTGGGAAGTGTTGTATTCAAAGATTCCTTGAATTTCATATCTATGCCGTTGAAACATTTCCCTAAAACATTTGCCTTCCATGAGGTTGCCAAGGGTTATTTTCCACACCTGTTTTCAACAGCTGAAAATGAGTATCATGTGGGTAAAACACTGCCCAGCAAGGATTTCTATGACCCTGACGGTATGTGTGCTGCTGAAAAAGCGCTGTTCCTTAAATGGTATGAGGAAAATAAGAATCAAAGCTTTAACTATCAGAGCGAGCTTCTCAGGTATTGCCAAAGTGATGTTGACATCCTCAGGCAGGGGTGTGGGAAATTCCGAGAAATGTTTACCGAGGTCAATGGTGTGGATCCCCTTATGCAATGTGTGACTCTCCCAAATGCATGCATGACAGTGTTCCGAGCAAATTTCTTGAAGGAACGACAAATTGCTATTCTACCACCGCAGGGGTATCACCCTGATAGGAATCAATCAGCTGTGGCTTTACAGTGGTTGTCATGGCTACAGCACAGCAACCCTAGCATGCGTTTGCGCCACGCTCGCACACTGGGTGGTGAACTGAAGCTTAAATGCGGGAGTCACAATTTCGCTGTTGATGGGTATGATATGCACAATCATGTTGTTTATTCATTCTTGGGCTGCTATTTTCACGGTTGCCGTAAATGTTTTTCCGGCAGTAAAGGCGTGAATTTCTCATTAGGTACAACGCCCAGGGAACGTCATGACTGGACAATGTATCGGCTGAATCTCATACGCCAACATCCGCATGTTCGAGACGTTGTTGCTCTGTGGGAGTGCGATTTTAAGAAAATGCAGAAAACTGATGCAAAGTTAGGGGAGTTTGTCAAAAACATGGGGCGGCAAAGCGGCGGCGCTGATGATGCAGGTTCATTCACACCTCCTCTCGACTCTAGAAATGGATTTTATGGAGGTCGTACAAATGGAGTGTGTTTACACAGAAACTGTACCGAAGGGGAAAAAATCAAATATGTTGATGTATGTTCTCTCTACCCGTATATATGTAAGTATGGGCGTTTCCCAACAGGCCACCCCACGGTACTGTATGCACCCGCCATAGAGCAGCTGTTTGACATCCATGGCATGATACAGTGCAGGGTTCTTCCACCAGGTGACTTGTACCACCCGGTATTACCATACCGCACAAATGATAAGCTGTAATTCCCACTGTGCCGGACGTGTGCTGATACAGGCTATAGTGCTGGCCCCTGTCCCCATGACGATGATCAGCGGAGTTGGACATCAACATATGCTACTGTGGAACTACATCATGCTGTTCGAGAGTGTGGCTACAGGGTATTGAAAATATATGATGCCTGGCATTTTGATAGTTTTGAGCAATATGACCCGCACACAGCTCAAAGGGGGGTGTTTACAGGGTATGTAGATGCTTTCTTTAAAATGAAGCAAGAATCTTCAGGCTACCCTGTGCACTGCGATACAGAGCAAAAAAAGCAGCAGTATGTACAAGAAGTATTCAGAAAGGAGGGTGTCATGCTTGACGCCTCTCAAATTGCACCCAACCCAGGAAAAAGAGCCATCAGCAAGTCCCTTCTAAATAATTTGTGGGGAAAGTTATCTCAGCGCAATAACATGGACGCGAACGTGTTTGTTTCAGACCTTCCGCAGTTCTACAATATTCTCCGGAATGCTGACATAGAGGTGAAAGACATCAGTTTAATAAACGAGGATGTGCTGCTCATCACCTATGCTACCACAAACCAGTCTGTGACACCCCATGGTGCCAGTAATGTCGCCATAGCAAGCTGGGTGACAGCTCAGGCCCGATTAAAACTGTACAGCGGTATACACCCTTTGGGAGACCGGTGCCTGTACTTTGATACAGATAGCATAATATATGTGCACAAAGAGAGTGAACCCTGCTCAACCATCGGCAATTCTTTGGGGGAATGGACAGACGAGATAGAGAAAGGCAACTGGATTGACGAATTTACAACATGCGGGCCGAAGAATTATGCTTACAAGCTCCATCATACAGATAAAAAAGGCACTATTTGTCAAATAAGAGGTTTCACGCTTAACGTACGCGCTAATAAAGAAGTGAATATAGAAAAAATGATAGAGATTGTTAACCACCCTTACCGTAATGGCATATCTGTACCTGTGCCCTACCCCCACAAAATTCATAGAAAGGGGCTCAAACGCGGGTGTGGGATAATCTCCAGGTGTGAATCAAGGGCCTACAGATTTGTCTACACTAAGCGCCGCATTGTGCCCGACCCCTACACTAACCACTTGACCTACACATTACCTTACGGCTATAAGCTGTGGTGAAAGGCGTGGTGAGAGCCCTCTTGCTGACCCCAACAAACTACCCTTTATTTAAGGTGTGACACGCCACGCATATACACACATGACACT